GCGCCGGCCGCCCGGCCCGCAGAGCCGAGCGCCCGGCCGCGTCCTCCCGGCGCTCCCAAAGCTGTCCGAGAAGACACCGTCAGGATTAGTCGAGGCTGCGGGTTGCCACGTGCTCTTGAGGCTTTTAGCGGAGCTCTGCTTGTAACCGCTCTCCAGCTCGGGTCCTCCCCAGCTGGCCGCTAGCGAGCTGGTCAGCATCAAGCTGGCCGCAGGAGCGGTTCGGTGCCAAACCGTAGGTATCTGGTGTCGCTTCAGATGCCCGAGGGGATCTGAGACATCCGCACAGGGCTAGCGGAAATAGCATGGGACGTGAGTGACACCTGAAGACCTGGGGGATACCGTACGACATCGAAAATCCCGCTAGACCTCTGTCGTTAACTGCTTCCAAAACACCCGCTGTTGACCCACGCTACCCAGGATCTTCTCTGGGGATGCCTAGGCCTTATTTCCCCTCTTCCCCTCCTCATAGCAGTTGATATGTCCTCAGCTGATTTGACACTTGCCAGATCGATCTATGGAAGCACTGCTTTTATCACCTGGAAAGTTCTAAGCTTTAAGATGAGCTTTACAGACTCATCTCAGACAACCCGAAAAGGTAAATGTTGTGGCTACTACAAGAGGCTTTCAAAAACTTGTAAAAATGCAGCAAAAATTGGTAACCATAAAGAACAAGGATTCTAATACACTCTCTTAAATTATTCCTTGAATGCTTATCTGATAATCAATATTTTGCCTTAATACAGTGCTTTCTGCTCCAAAAACCTCAATTAACAATTATTAATGAAGTAACCTAAACAGTGTCCATAGGAACCAGCTGCGTACTCACCTACTTATGAGCATTATAAAACAGTTTGTAAAAGTCTTTGAAGATCATAATATAATTAGTATTACGATAGTTCTATTTAAATATTTAAGATTATTGCATCCATTTTACTCAAGGAAAATTAAGTCTGAGGAGGTTAAATGAAAAGAGCAGACCATCCTGGTAAAGTAGTTGACAGATATAAAGCAACTATGTGTGCTGGCCAGCTGGAGAAGTCACACATGTGCCACGCAGGTACAAAGCGTGAACAAGGAGAAGCTGCAGAGACACCGTAAGGCTTCGTGATAGGCTGTTGAAGTGGGATGCTGGCACTAAAGATTTAAGAACACCGATATCTAATAAAAGGGCTAGTTGAGATTATATGCTACTGAAGTTTAGAATTACCTAAATCTGATACCATGGTAACTTGGAAGAACAACTCCTATAACTTCTTCCAGATGTCTACAAACACGAAGAAAACAAGCTGCTTCAGATATTATCTTGATTTCATCATTTGCCAAAACTCTATTCATATCTTCATCTCATGCTCGACTGCATATTTTTCCAAGACCACCATAAACTTGTATTCTCTGATCATCTCTTTCTCCTCAAAATGCAGTTATTCAGGCCTGTACTTGCACTGAGACACAGAACCTCCATATACAAAACACCACAGGGAAATCTGAATTTACTATCTGTAATTTTAATCCATGATTTTTATAGCTTGTAACAGAGTGTCAAAAATATCTGGGATAATTGCTAAGATAATCCGCGTTTCCTTTGACAAGAAAAAATACCACCCACACTATAACTAACAATAGCCCAGCCAGTTCTTAAGAAATCATTGTTGAGTGTAGCTGTCTTCACAAATTGCCACTTAATGTTGAAATCCTTTATTATAACAAGGTGTTTGGGAAGTTTACAAAGAACGGGGTACATTTCACATACCTGCCACTAGTATCCGGGATCCTTTCAGTGTGGAGTTTCAGGCTGGATACAGAGCGCGTAGGGGGATGGTAACGCTGATGAATGACGCCTCGCCTGTGAACAAGGCTGTACAACTGTACTCATATTGCTGGATCTCCCCTGGACGTCAGCTCTTGTCAGTCACAAAAAGCTGTCGCACAGTCTTAGAGAGGCAGCGGGAGTTTCTGTTCAGACAGAATTCCAGCAGTTACACCTCCTACTTTCCTGTTAGCCGCAAGACCAAAGCCTTTAATTGAACTGAGTTCATAACCATAAATAAATAAATAAAATCTGTATCACAGATAATAGGTCCATAAATAGATACAAAAAAAGAGAGTGAGCGGGGCATCATCATCTAACATCCCTAATTGATGCCCTGGCATAATTGTGGATGCTCGGGAGTATGAGGACCCGACCAGGGCTTGCATGCTGTCCCTAAATAGGACCGCTGTTCCGGTCCAACAGGGCATTTCTTACTTTCAGAACGCCTTAAATATGCCAACTTGTAAAATACGGACAGTATGCAGATTTCAAAGTGATTTTAAGTCATTCAAAACACATTACAGGAATCTATCTGTAATCCATAAGGGTGAAGCCCATCTTCAGGAACAACTAAGATAAATAAGAATTAATAAAAAGTAACTTGTATCTTAAACCATTATATGCCTCTCAGCTGGAACTGTTAGAGATAAAATGGATAAAGTGAAGACATACTTAACTGTTTTTCACTGAGAATTGTCCAGTCTGTATTTCTGTATATTTGCCTACAAATTAAAGTTTTTATATTAGTTTTCTTGTCCCTTTCGTTTCTTGGATCTCTTGATAATTATAAGCATTTTAAAGCAATTTTATGTAAGACAGTTATTTGCCCTTTGCTCTATCATGCAAGTACCTAGTACAAATTATAAACTCATTTTCTTCCTCCTGTGTTTTGTATGTAATGTACATCAAAGTGATTCTGTCCCATGCAGACACCTTTTCTCTTGAACACAACATTTTGTAACTGTTCATGAAAAATCAAACACAGTAAGTTCCCTTCACCTCCAGGGAGGGAGGGGAGGAACAAACGAACCAGCTCGGCGGGTTTCATCTGCACTGGCAGGTAACGTGACAGCCTCTGGCCCAGGTTAACGCTGCACAAGCCCTACAGACGCTCAGGCTTTTGAAATACTGTGGACCCACCAGTCCATGAATCCCCAGTTTCTTTCCTTCCTAACTTTGCGAACGGGCTCCCCTCCCACCCTCCATCCCCTAACACCTCCTAGACCGTGCCGCAGCTTGCCCAGGGAGCGGAGCCGTACGCTAA